GACCATTACAAGCTCTTCTTTTATTTGAAGTGAAATTAACATTTTCATTACCGGTGATATCGATAATAAAACTTATATTTTCTTTTCCTTCATATTCGTCTACACTAATAATATCATTATCATCCATTGCATCCTCAACTTCACTATTCCAATCTTCCCATTCTTCATCAGAATCATTAATTTCATGTTTCTTAGTATCAAAAAAATGATATATAGTTTTTTGACCTTCAACTCGTTTACACCCATTACTTCTGGCATGACGGTTAATATAATCCTCATCCCACTTTCTTGACAGTTTAATTATTACACCACACACACAAATAACTTTTTTGCGCGTAAAACTTTAGCAACATATAGATGTTTCTTCAAACGTTCTTTTGAATACTTCCAACTTACTATAATTTGTAAAGTAAACTATTTAATATAATTTTAAAAAATAAGAACGCGTTTAGATATGAAAAAGTATACCAAATAGCAGACCGCGACGTGTAGGTAAGGAAAAATAGAAGAAATGTAGCCATTATGTAATTGGTCATTACATAAAATAATAAATTCGGTTTTTTCTTTTAGAACATTATAATATAATCGGAAAAGGATTTTATATATATTTATTTTGATTATCTTATTTGATTATCTTGACCAATATAAATTCTACGCATCTTCAAACCCTTAGTTTTAATTTAAGAGTAAAATACGCAAATATAAATTATGAGTAGTACAAAATAAGTCCAGTACTACGCAAATCAATTTGTGAGTTTCAAAAAAATTTTCATATGATTGCTACGCAATCCTAAATGTAAGTTATATCATAGATGTTCAGGGTCCTCTAATGCCGCCTTGTTGAGGTCTACTGATACAGTAACGATAGTGTATTTCTGTTGCGATTTAAATTTAATCGTGATAACATGACCTCAGGCCTTTAAGTGATTAAGGACATTAAGTTGGGTCTATCGGGAGGGAATATCATATACTATAATTTCTCGAATATTCTCCTTAATTTCAGAATTATATCCAGTCATCACAGTGCTAATTGTTTTTGGCGCAAATGTAGCAGGTTGTTTCTTGGAAGCCTTATGGCTAGTACTAGATGTGCTAGTTTTTAAAACGGGCACAGTTTTTTGCTTCTTTTTATCCATATTAAGAGAAGGTGAACTCGGTCTGCTGGAGTCACTATTCGAGTCCTATTTAACTGCATCCACATAGAAAACTCGCTTTTTTCTTCCTTTTCCTTTGGGAGTAAAAGGTACGGCATCTGCTTTAAGAGTTTTGGGTGATACGGAAATAGAGGGCTCATCCTCTATCTGATCTACTTTTGACTCAATTTATGCTACAAGCTGCTGTAATTGTGATTGGGGTTTAGGGTATGCATAAATTTCCATTTCCATTAAGACATTTTCTGTAGAACTGGACGTGTAATTGGTTTGTTGTGATGATGTCATCAAACTTTACTTCCAGATGTTTTCAACCCTCTGACCAAGCAAAAGTTGAAAATGTTGAGAGTACGTAAGTACAATAAAGAGGAAGTGGTAAAGTTTGTTGAGGTTTTTTATGCCAAAAGTACTGAAAACTTCTCAATATTCAGATAATAGAGCTTCATAAGGTGCTAGATCCTCATCGGCAGTAAGTTTAATGGTATCAATTATGTGTTTTTCACTTATGTTATCTGCGGCATATTCTCTTAGGCCAACCTTCAAAAAGGCAAGAAAAGAACTATCTCTGAGGTTATTAATATGTTGTTTGACCTTTAAATAGTCAATTAGAGATCGGTTGTTATTGTCGTAAGCTATTTTTAATGAAAAAGTTGCTAAAATTTTCTTGGGAAAAAATGGTCCATGTGATCGTCAGAAAGAGTTCCAAAATTTTTTCATTAACCAATAATATTAAGAATTGAAGTAAGGTAAATTACTAGTAAATTTAAAATTTTTTCTGAAGACTTTTATTAGAAGTAAGTGAAGTCCTATTTATAATAAGTTTTATTGAATTTCACTTTTCTTCAGAATTTTGCTAACTTTTTAATAAAACTTTTATATAATTTTACTATTTTAGCATTTTACTAACTTACCAAAATCCTCTAGTTTCTCTAGCAATTTTACCAAAAATTTGGTATTCACATTCTAAATAGTAAAAAAAAAGAGTTAATGTACTTTTTATAATTCTATATTTAAAAGATGGAAATTCAAATACTCAAAATTCTGATTTTCTGTTTTTACAAAATAAAAAAAAGTAGTTAGTAAAATACTATAATGATTATTTCTTAAAAAAATATACATACATTGTATATAAAATTATTTCTATCTGAAAATATAGTTTTAAATAATTGCAATTTATACAGAATGTTTATAAAAACAAAACAAAATATATAGAATGTATAGAAAATATAAAAAACTTGGTATAAAAAAAATATCACAAAAAAAAAATCTTTTTTTTTAATGTCTTTTAAAAAAGAATGTATTGGTATTTAGTAATAATAAAAAAGAAAGAAATAATTAAATTATTAATTTAATCTAATCATTGAAGTATACAAAAAAATTCTGATTTTTTTAATAATAAATTTCCATTGATTTCATTAATCCTATTAGTATACTGATTTAATTTAACAGGTTTTTTTAACTTGCCTTATGCTAAATGTAGGAAAGTATTATTATAATAATTAGCTGGAAGTTATACTTTATGTTTGACTACCTTTATGACTGATTTGAAGATTTCTTCATATTTCTTATCTTTTCAGATAGTAGTTTTTAGGCTGTATTCGAACTTTAGAAGTAAAATGGTATTTATGATATATATTAGCTATATATAAATTATATATTTGCATTTAATAGCCTTTAGTATTATTGAGATTTCTTTTTTTACTATCAATTCTATGTATTTGTTTTCTTTATCTATTTTAAACCATACTTTTAATAATATTTGTATTGAATTTGAATTTTTGTTAGCAAACACTTTGTTTTTGTTTTTCTCTATTTTAAGAAATCTTTTATTTTTGTTACTATCTTCTGGATTTACAATTATAATTTCAGATTTTTCTTTATTTATTTTTATATTATTAATATTAAAAAATTCATCAGCAATTAGTGATTTTTTTTTGCTTTATCTTTACTTTTAACTATCTATTATATATCATCTGTATAAACTGAAATGGCAGTTTATATCTTTATATTCTATTTTTTATTGCAGATTACATTATTTGGCCATTTCAGTTCCATTGTGTATTCTAATAATTTGTCTTTCTGTATTCTGTAAAGCAAAGAATCATAAAAAATTCTTCATATAAAGAGGAACATCACCTTGCCTAATCATAATCTTTTCAATTAATATTATAATTTCTGAATAATTTATATTAACTAGATGGTATATATTTAATAATTCATTCTTTTTTTTTTGATTTAATTTTCTGTTATTTCTTTAGTAAGTAAATTGATTTACCTTTATATTTAAAAATTCCTTTTTTTGTTTTGACAATTTTTAGTTAAAATTTGTAATTATAAATACTGATAGTAAATCTGAAGAAATTAACCTTAATATTAAAAAAGCATCAATAATAAACCAATTATCATTTAAATAAATTTTCAATTTACTTTACAGTTCTTAAAAATATTTTTTAATTTTTTACTATAATATTTATAAATTGTTTTTTAATGATTTTTCCTTTATTTCATAATATGTATAAGTTCTTTTTTAAATAAATAAAATATCTATATATGATCAAAATTGTTTTCCTTTTCTTTAATATATATTTTTATAATTTTATTATAAATCTTACCTATTTAATAGGAAAGTTTTTAATGACTTTTTTTAAAAAAATCAAAATATAATTGTTTTTTAATAATTTGACTTCTGAAATAACCTTTTACTTTTATAATTATCAATCATCATTTTTGATTTATTGATAAATATTCATTAATATTTAAAAAATCTTTATCATCTGATAAAAAAATACTTCTTTCCAATTTCTTTAATCAACTTGCTAAAAGTATTTGAACGGTATTTTTTCAAAAATGTTAAACCATATTTTCTTGCCATCTAGTATTGTAGTAAAAAGATGGTTAATTTTCATGGATTTGTTATAATGAGATATACTGGATGGTAATATTTTTGTAATTCTGTAATTGATAGATAATTGGTTATTATTACAAGTCTTTAAATTAAAAAATGCTAATAAATTTTCATCTATTGAAGCTAAAGATATGAAAATTTCACCACTTAATTCATCATATTATGACATATCTAATGAGCTTCAGTTCGTTCTTTTATAATTAATAGATAATATAATATCTTGATAATTCTGTATCCAATTAGTAAAATACAGTCAAACCTTTATATAACGATATGTCGGGACATATATGAAATTTTTAGAAAATATCGTTATATCAAAGTTATACCGATATTTATATGTCCTCACATATAGTGGGAAAATAATAAAATTTTATCGGTATAACAAGTTTTTAATAGTATATCGGTATATCGAATATCGGTATATCGAGGTTAGACTGTATTATTGAAATGTATTGAATTTGAAAAAATTAATTATTAGCATGTCAAAATGTCAAGGCATTACGTTATTTGTGAACCAAGGCTCATTAAGTTTGTTGTAATGAGAAGCATCAAATGGTGATGTTTTTATGTCTCTACCTTGTCTCCTATCAATCAAAGAAATACAAAAATAGCACCAATTGATGCATCTCATAATGAGCTTTTATAATCATCTTTCTGCGATCACTGGATGGTGAGCAATAGCGATTTAATGTTCTTGAAAAAAATACTGTCCAAATACTTTTGGCATGCTGGTATATACATGCAATAATTTCATTATTATTGCCGCTTTTATAGTGTAAGAAGAGATATCACGACCCTACCAACAACCAATAATTATTTACGGCAATTTCTATAAAACATTTAAACATTCGTTTATATTTATTTACTTAGAAATATTCAAATTAGGCTGTTCAGATAATTTTTGTGAAAAACGCAAATAATAGTATTACAGTATTACAGAAGGAAATTTTTTAATTTAATTATGACAGCTAGCAAATACATAAAATGTTCTGGAATATATATTCTTTATAAAATAATACTTTTTTTTAATTGATAAAATATTCGACAGAATTTTTTCTTTAAATATAAAGACTCTCATTAATACTCGGATTACTTTGATCTCCAAGATTTGGTTTTTCTTCGATAGGTTTCATGGCGGGGAAAAGTAAAACTTCCTTAATATTTGAACTATTAGTTAAGAACATGGTAAGTCGATCTATACCCATTCCCCAGCCTCCACTACAAATAAAAGAATTTAAGTTAGCACTTAGAATTACTAAAGATCTTTTTTCTCGAAATATTTCTTACGTTGGTGCTAAACCATATTCCAAACTAGTACAAAATGTCTCGTCAATAAGTTGAGCTTCATCATCACCTTGTTCCTTTTGACGAGCTTGTTCTTCAAATCTTTCACGTTGATCAAAAGGATCATTTAATTCAGTATAAGCGTTACAAACTTCCTTGGTAGCTACAAATAATTCAAAACGTTCACATAATCCTTCAATGTTCCTATGAGCTTTAGCTAGCGGCGACATCATTTGTGGGTGTCCAGTAATAAATGTTGGTGATACACAATCAACTTCAATAAATTCACCCACAAGCTAGATTAATAAATGAATAAAAAAAATTAAAATAAATGAATGAATAAATGAATAAATAAATAAATGTAAGTTAATCACTTTATCTAGTAATCTTGCACAAGTTCTTGGAGGAGAACATTCTATTTCATGTTTCTCGCAAAGTTCCTGAAGAAATTTAGCAGTTTTTTCTGTATGAAGCTCAGATGCTGGTGGAAATTTAACGCACAATTTTTCCTCCAGAGTGTCAATCATACTAACTCTCTTAAATGGTGGAGTAAAATCTATGTTCATAGCGGGTCCATCAGGACCTTGAGGATGATAAACAATCTTATAATCTCCCGTTATATATTTAACCATGCTTGAAAGCATGCTTTCGGTAATTTCCATTAAATCATACATATCAGCAAATGCCATATAAAATTCACATGTAGTAAATTCAGGATTATGCGTAAGATCAATAGATTCATTACGAAATTGTCTGCCGATTTCATATACACGATCTAGTCCACCAACTACAAGCATCTTAAGATACAATTCTGGTGCAACTCTCATAAAGAGGTCAAGCTTGAGATCATTATGATGAGTGATAAATGGTTTGGCTGTAGCTCCACCAGCAATCATATTCATCATTGGAGTTTCAACCTAAGTATAAATTTAAAAAAAAATATATATTTTATATATATATATATATATATATATATATTTGGTATTTGGTTTGCGATAATAAGGATTATAAATGATCACCTCAAGGAACCCAAGATTATCCAAAAATCTTCTAACATAGTTTACAATTTTAGCTCTAATTATGAATTTATCTCGGACAAAATTATTCATAATTAAATCAAGATAACGTTGACGGAAACGTGTCTCTTGATCTTTAAACCCATAATGTGCTTTGGGCAACATATGCAAACAAGGTGAAAGTAGAATAACATCTTTAGGAAAAATTGATAGTTCACCATGTTTGGATTTTCCTGGACAGCCACGGACTCCTACAACATCTCCACGTCGAAGTATGTCATGAACTTCGGCAAAATCTCGCTCAGAATCTCTACAACATTAAATTAATATACAATATTAAAATATAATCTAAGAAAAAAGTAGAATTAATGTCTCTTACTGTGCTTGAGCCATAATTTGAATCTTAACACCTTCTCCGTGTAAATCATAAAACTTTAACTTGGCTCCACCGCTTCTTATATTATGTATTCTACCAGCAACCTGAACGACCTCATCTAAATGTTGACCGGATTCAATGTCACCATATTTTTTAATATAAGCCGGAATGGAAAGAGTCACATGAAATTTATGTGGATAAGGATTAGGCTGACGAGATTCTCGAAGTTTAAGAATACGCTTGGATCTAATTTCAAAATATTGCTACAAAAGAAACAAGATAATTAGTCAGAGAGAAACCATAAATATTAACCATTTGATAATAAATACTGTTATATAACCTACGTTAGGGTTTAAGGTTTCCTCGTCAGTTTTTTCAGGCTTTTCAGAATTTTCAATAGCAGAAGCTGCAGCCTTAGAAGTCTATTACAATTAGTCAAAGTAATATTTTTAATCCAATTATCTAATAAGAAATTTTTATTAATTGAATAATAACCTTCTTGGCTTCTTTTTCCCGTTGTTTTTGACGTCTCTTCAATTCACTAAAAATGTATTTAAAGATACAAACATGAGTATGATTCATCTGAACAGATCATTTTGAAAATTTTCATACCTCTTGGATACCTTCTCTCCCGTGACTTCATCCAAATGTTCTTTAGCATTCATTTCAATAATTATTTCCTAAAAAATCTGTATATTTTATCAGCGCAAGGGAAATAAGGAAATATAAAGCAAAAAAAAATACCTTTAGTAAGAAATTTATGTTAATACGCGACCTTTATAAAAAAAATTTTTTAGATCATCTTATCGGTTGTGATACATGATTGTGGCACGTAAGAATTGTCATAAAATGTCATTTGGACTAAGCCATACTATGGTCTGATTGTTTCCATTTTAAATTCTATGCTACAAACGTTTTGCCATAAAAGATTCAAAAGAAAAGAAGCTACAAACTGTAGTTCTTTCATTGTATTTATTTAGACACGAGAAATGCGTAAATTTTTGTAAAAATTGTGCTATCCTGAAATGATCATTTGGCATTAATCCAAATGACAATCTAAATGATTTACTAAATTGAATTCATTTGTCATTTAAAACTGATTGTGAATGTTTTTATAAATGAGATGTATTAATGTATTAATGTATTTGATTGGATAACGTTTAAAAACGCTTATACTTTATCCTAGTCCCAGAATTTCGATGATCTACTGTGTACAGATCACATGTCAATCAGCTGGTGTTATTAAAATTAGATCAAAAAAAATTTTTGATCCCAGGCTCGTCCCCACCATAATAATATTATAGTAATAGTAAAAATGGTCTCTTATCAACAAGACACGAAAATGGATTTAGATCAAAGTCCTATAGAAGTTTTGAATGAACTTCGTAAACAGTGTTCACCTGATTTACAAGAATACCTAAACACGTTTGAAGACCTTTATGACCGTAAATTATGGCATCAACTTACCTTGAAGATTGAAGAATTTTTTTCGATACCAGCCTCGGGGTCATTTCAAGTACCTTTATTTCAACATTTTATATCTGACTGGGAGAATAGGATGAACAAGCTTAAATTAGTAACATTGGGACTTTCCGTTGTGAAACAGTTTAATGGTAAGTCTCCTTAGCTCTCAAAAATACAGATCTTGAATTAACATATCAACTCATACAATTTTACTTAACATTTATAGATAACAATCAAGCATTAAGTTTTCTGACGTCTCTGGTAGAGAAAGTTAACACACCTGACACGAGAGATGCATATGTTCATGCTGTCATGGAAACGGCTTATATAAAACTTATTTTAGGCGATTTTGAAGGAACAAAGAGCGCCATTGATGAATGTGAAAAAATTCTTGACAAGTTTGATTCAGTAGAAACCGTTATTCATGCAAGTTTTTATAGAGTTTGTGCTGAATATTTTAAGGTAAAGTAATATTAATTTAATTGATCTTAAGTAATACAACTGAAAGTTTTTTTTTGCTAAATTTAGGCAAAAGCAAATTTTCCAGAATTTTACAAAAATGCTCTGCTTTATTTAGCATGCATTAATCTTGATGCTTTGACACCGGATGAAAAAACTAATAGAGCGTATGATTTGGCAATTAGTGCTCTCTTAGGAGAAACTATTTATAATTTTGGTGAGCTGGTAAGTTGAATTATTTCTATTCGAGATTACAACACGCGTAACTTATTTCTCAAATTTCTTTGGTTGTACTAGTTAATGCATCCTATCTTGGATGCTTTAACAGGAACTCCTCATGAATGGCTTAGAAATCTACTGTTTGCGTATAATGTAGGAGATCTTGCAAAGTTCGAAACGTTATCAGTGAATTTTGCTCAAATGGTAAGAAATTAATGAACGAAATAGTATTCCTCACAATATAAGAAATTTTTTATTTATATGATTACTCATCTTTACATTGCTTAATAGCCACTTTTACAAGATAGTTTTGTGTTTTTGCGCCAGAAGATTTGTTTGATGTCATTGATTGAAGCTGTATTTCAGAGAAGTTCGGATAACAGAACTATTTCATTTTCAACTATTTGTTCTGTAACTTTATTACCACCTGAAGAGGTATTTTAATTATTTTCAATATTGTTAAACGCGTGTATATATTATTTAAATTTGTTTAATATAATAGGTGGAATATTTAATTATGAAAGCTCTCTCGCTTAAACTAATTCGTGGATCGATTGATCAAGTTCGAGAAGTTGTTATGGTTACATGGGTTCAACCACGTGTATTAGATTTAGTTCAAATTGATGGTATGAGACAAAGATTGCAAGAATGGGACGAGAATGTAAAGAAAACTGCTATTATTGTAGAAAATGAAACTCCCGAATTATTTGTTCAATAAATGCAATTTTATAATAATCTTATTTAAAATTTATATGATAAACTTAGAAAATTATGTATTTTTTAAAATAAAATTGGTTTATTCTATTTATGTTGTAAATTCGTTGTTGAGTGTCCATGTTTTTAAAGAACATCATATTACGGTAAAATGATATGTTATGAATGTAAATAGCGTAATGCATAATAAATAATTGAAAATAATAATTTAATTAATTACGCTTCAACATCCAAAATTTAATTTTTTTTTTTTAGCTGTACTTTAACGAATGTTAATTAAAAACGCACTCAAATACATACTCATGTGAACACCGAACACGCTGTACACAGATTGAATTATTGAATAAACGTAAATTTTTTTTATTAATGTCTATCAATTATACAAAAATAAAAAAAAAATATTACAAGATGAAAGAAAAAAAATATTTATTTGACAAAAAATTTACAAAGAAAAAGTGAAGAGTAAAATTTTTTCACTCTTCGCAATGGTTAATTGCATGAATCATCGAATTCTCGAATTTGATTAAAAAAGGGTTGATAAAATACAAATAAAGAGAAAGAAAACAAGATTTGGTAAAGAACAAGCAGCAACAAGCTTTTTGTGTGGCAGATCATTGTTTAACTATTATCGAGAAGGACAAGATTATGTAAACCGAATTATTGTTATGATCCTCTATTTTAGATTGATTCAGTTGGTATTTTGTTAAGTGTTTTTTCGGGTGATGTGTTATTATAATAAATATCCGAAAACACATCATCTTCCTCACCGATATCTTCAGGTATTATACCACAACGGTCTTTATATATGGTCTCAAATGACCTACATAAATTTTTCAACCCTAATAAATATCCTCTATCAAAACCTTTTGTCGGTGGATATCTACATTCACTAGGAAGATAATCTTTACCCGTTGTACAATGAGCAAAATCAATTATCCTAATGTCTATGTCGCGTGGATTGTTCTCATCGCCGTCATAAATCAATAGTAAACTACTCGCATAAAATCGGTAGTTATCCAGACTTTTTATAATTTTGGCCAGCCTTCGAAGCTTACGTATGATGATAGGAATATGATGATCCAGCAACTTGTGCCCATTATGAATAAAATCTTCTAGTGTGTTTTGGAAGGTATCCTGGTTCAAAGATCGACCGTAGTATTTACTCTGGAATTTAAATTTACGAGTAGTAGTCTTATAGACCTATATTTTATTTTCAAAATTAACAACTTTTTTAATAATCAATCATTAAAAGATGATAGTTTTGTTTAAAAGACTAATTTAATTTACCTGCATGCCACAAATCCTTACACCCAAGGTTTTACTAGTAGTCTCTGCGCATTTCTTTATTTGACTCTCACGTTTTTCTGGTGAGGCATCAATTCCGAATTGGCGGGTACCCATCTTAAGATCCAAGACACAAGGATATTTCAACCCAGCGGTGAGATCTTCAAGTAAGACAAACTGTTGAACTTCATTTTGTAATTTGGAAAGTTGTGTAGCATTATAACAATGCAAGGACCATGGATTGTTTATCTTTTCTGATGATGATGGCGTCAACATCTCCGTGTTTTTTTCTAGTTCTTCGTTTGAAGTCTTTATAATACGTCTCTTAGAGGGTCTACATTGAAGATTTGTTGTAGAATTTCGCGTTGAAGAAGTAAATTCTTCTATTTTGAAGATTGTTGGAGAGTCTATGAGAATCTGAGGCGTCATGTTTGGAGACGACGTAGCGGATTGAGCTTTTAAATGAATAGAAGTAAGGTGATCTTCTTTTCTCGTTGAAGTCGATTCTTTATTACAGTTATCCACTTCATAATCTTCTAAAGGCTTATTTGATAAAATATCGTAAGATATTTTCGGATTCTTATCATTAATATGGCAAATATCTGTTAGACTTCTTGACATTTCTGATGTATTGCTACTAGGTTTCTCTGAATTAGAAATGTTTATCATTGAATGCCTCCTCGTTATATAGGATCGTAAAGCTTTTGGTGAAAATACTTCACCAAGTACTTCCTCCTTTAATTGTTTGTTTACCTTGGTACATAAGCCTTGAGAATTTACATTATCAAAACAATCTTTATCATAGTTTTCCTTATCCAAATTGTGATCATGGTCAACAAATGAATTCACTTTATTAAGCATCCATTCTGGCAACAAATGTTTATTTTGTTCAAATACTACTTCGGGCATTGACCCTAATTCACCTCGATGGGTAACATTAAGAACCCCCAAATATTGAGATACAAAAGGTAAAAGATCAGGACGTAGCGTCTCTAAAATTTCATAGAATTGATGTTCTCTACGTACTAAAGGTTTACAAACTGCCCTTTTCGAAAACCTGAAAAATGATGTATGACCTCCAACTTGATTGTCAAACGGTGTCAATCTAACTGAGGGTGGAGATAAGGGATCATTGAAAAAATTGTACAATTCTTCATCGTCTGTAACATCATCACCTTCGTCATCCTCCGAAAAATCTTTTTCTGAATCAGAAACATTGATTTTAACATTTTTTGATAATTTGTAAGGATTCTGCGGAGATATTTGTACAGAATTAAAATAATCTGTTACAATTGATAACGATTGTGGAGAAGTTTCCGAATGTAAAGAACTTGTTGGCGATATGGTCGAAATATTATCTTCAACATCTGATATACCGTGCTTAAAAAGGTTTAAAGTCAATGAATTCTTTCGTCCACTGGATGATGTTAATTTTGAGGTTGATTTAATTCCGTTAACGTCAGCAGCGGATGATCCAATTGAACGACGCTTATGACTTTTATTTGATACATTAATAGTAAAGTTGATTAGAAGTATTTATTAAATGACAAAATAAAAAAAAATGTTTACAAACTTGGATAGCATTCATTCGGTAACTGTTGCTATATACGAATGACAGCTATTCAGTCTGGAATATCCAATTATAATAAATAATATATGGCACAATTACAATAAGAATTAACAAAATTTCTCAATAAATACCTTGTTAAATTCTCTGATCGTGACATATTTGTTTGGTTATTTTTTTGAAGAGTGATATTTGATATTGGAGCCATATCTGTTAGGAGCGACCCATCGAAGGAATCAGGTATGGTACTTAAACGGTGTTCAGCAAAAACGGACGAATTGAAGACAGAAGGTGCAGTTTCAGTTATAGTAAGCATTGAGTTCCGTTATTTCAAGCTTTGTAATAATTATTAACTTATATCAAAAAAGGTAGAGTAGAACGAAATGGAAAAAAAAGAATATACATATACTATATTCTTTTTTTTAATGAACTTGAGGTCTATTTATATTTGAAAAAAACAACGCACGAGTTTCTTTTCCAGTTGAATAAGGTAAGATAATAAATATATATCGGAACAATAAGTAGCTAAAAGTGTAATGTTACACGCGGTCACAAAATATTTTAAATTACAGAATTCGGTTATATAAATATTTACTCATGCCCGATTGTGGTTTACACAATAAGTCTTATCGTAGCATTCATAATTATGATATATATGATATAATAATTATAATAGTTTTATATAAAATAGCCGGAAACGTAAATCCATCTCCGCAATAAAAAAAAAAAAAAAAATAAGGTATTCAATCTTTTTAAACTACCCTACCTAATATTCCTGACGTTTGGGAATGGACATTGAAAGAATCTCCCAGATTATTGGTAACAAGAAAAATTTTTCACGCTCTAATTCCATTAGAAAAATACAAAAATAAACAAACAAGCAGAAGGATTCATCACAAGACTTTTTTTCCATAGTCCCTTCTTTTTATAGTAAAGTCACATTCCATAAATGGTAAAGAGAAAATAGATAAGGTAATTCATATAAACAAACTTTTGATTTAATATTCGAGGGAATTATCTTTCTCACGCAGTAATATTGCCTCCCCAAGTTGCTTTTTTTATTATGGGAAAATTGTGCAAGCGCCCACGTGTTCGTAACGAAGTATTTTTTTCAGTATGCAATATTGTCGATGCTCTACAGCTCTACATCAAGCTCATTCTATGTTTCGATTCGATGTACGTCATATCTTTTTGGTTTATCACACCGTCTTTCAGAATTTTAATTTTTCTTTACTATAATAATACTAATTTTTCTCCTTTTGTTATGCATAGAATTGTATGTTATTGAATATCGAGTATTTAGGAAATTAGAAAAAAAATTTTTAATTCACCAAACTAATATCTTAGTTTTAAGTTGACTGATTTCATGAAAATTGATTATGATTGGACGGAAATATTCAACAATGATAAAAATTATTGAATATTATTTATTTATTTGTAGAAAATCTTTATTATATATTTTGTCCAACAAATTATTTCATATTTAAAATGTGGGTTTATCCATACTCTTCATGAGCTTTTTCAGTGTTGCTCAAAATAATCACGAGGCCAGTATGGACAATTATTTCAAATACTCCTTTCAATTCTCCCTGTCTAATAGCGAAATTAGTGAACGTGCCTGAATATAATTTAATCACTTAATCACTTAATTGATCGTTCTTCTATTAACAAAAAATTTTTTTTTTGAATTTTTAATTTTTTAACCGAGTACAACATATTTTTAAAGCCGGAATGGCGCTGTCACGCCAACCTGCATTTTTTATTCTAATAACCTTGTCAGGATTAGAAAAAATTCCCATTTTTATTAACATTAATCATGTAAATATTTGGTTAAAAGTTGTTAATTGCGGGTAAGTTATAGTTAAAAACTTTCCGCAACATTTTACATATCGTTTTTCTTAATCGTGCAGATAGATTTAAACCCATCTACTCGTCTAATCCTACTCATCTAACCCAAGTAGATTTTTATCTAATACCTTATTTATCCTAGTCAGCTTTTTCTCGTAATGTTATTCCGTATTAAAAAAAAATTTTAAAATAAACATTACGAGATTTAATCATCATATTGCAAATTAGTTCTATTATCTAACTTTTTTAGTTGTACGGGATGAGGCGTTTGAAAATCATGGACATAAATAAATTGTGGAAAACTATAAAAAAATTTTTCGTCTTTTTTTATATATTAGAAGTTTCTGATGTTCTATATTATACAAAGCTTGTATATTCTTTTTAAAGAAGCCTTGTGAATAAAACGGAGAAATTTAACACTCTAAACTTATTAAGAAATTTTTAATAAGGTTCGATTTATGTATCATTTTTCATTTAGAATTACGAAAAAAGTATATCGCTTAAATGATTTTATTAATTGGTAGTACAAATTCCACAATGCTATGTTTCAGTCTTATGTCGGTCATTATAGCCACCTGAATTTCTCAACTCAATAATCTTTAATATACATCTGCGTGGTAAATTACACGTGACAAGAATTTCACTAGTCCTTCACATATGATCCTATAAATATATTAAAAGTAGGCTGGGCGATTCCTCTCGTATGTCTGGGGGATTGGACGAACTCGCATTAGCTTAGTTTTGATTCGTTATCTTTGTATTCCATTCTGCTAGCAGTTGCTTGTAGTCCCGGATCCGATGTCTATATAATAAAAATAAAATATTAAAAGTATATATTTTTGATATGGTTTGTCTTATCTTACATTATTCTTTTTAATTCAAAATGATGAGAAAATCATAACTTTTTTTCCAGGTATTTCATAAATAAATAGACCGATAACCATTCCTACATATGTTTGTCTTTTTTCCAATTGTTTGATTTGTTTCACGTTCTCATTCCAATTGCGAGATCAAAAGAACCCTATACTGTCATTGTCAAGATTGACTATTTCTCGTAGAATTGGGATACTATTGGGATTGATATATCACGTCCCAAATACCATTCAGGTGGAACTTTAAATATTTGTTAAGGCTGTTGACAGTACTAAGGATTCACACCAACCTTTAAAAGTAAGGTATAGAATACTGTCATCCATTTTTCTAGGATTCTCAAATTCACTAGAGTTTTCTCCCAGTTTTCGATTTTAGAATATTTCATACATGAATTCTCATATTATTCAAAAAATATCTTGATCAGACTACAGATGCTATGTTCTTCTCTTCAAAAGTTCTTATAATACTTGATTTTAGCGACTCAAGTTACATCAATGTGTAACAAATATAGGATCTTGATATTGATGTTTTAGTTATCTTTGTTCCATACAATTCTGAGACTTTACCTATTCTGGAGTCATGTTTGGTACGCTTAATATGCTGTATAAATATTAATTCATTTATCTAGATCAAATTCCAAAATCTAATCCAAGATTCGAATAGTCCATATAACTTAATTACAACCTTTTTTTCATTTCGCACAAAACTAAATTATTCACAGCGGCCTTGTTTTATATCAAACAAAACAGCCTTACAGTAATTATTAAATGATTTAATAGACTACTGTAACAAAATATAGATAAAGTATGTTAGTAAAGACAATTAGCGTGGAATAATTATACATTTTGAATATGTATGTCGTATGGTAGAATATACGTTAGTTATTCTTTCGTAAAAATATTTTTTTTTTACCCTTGAATTATATGATTATAATTAATACCTTGCGTAAGCTTTATTTATCAATAACTTTTTCTGGAGACAGAGAAATCCGGAGCAATTCGGAATTGTTTTGATAAGATGAGATTTACGTGACATTTTATTGTTACACGACATCAATAAAACTTTTTTTTACAAGTTGGTTTTTTTTTTACGTTTATAAAAATGTCTGACACTATTAAAGACTCTGAAGATGATAAGAAATATAATTGCAATCTAGTACAAGCATTTGATCAATATATATTATGTTGCAGTATATATCCTTACATCTTTATAAACATCCTTGTATTCTTATATAAAAAATTCATTTAACTAATAAAAAATTTTTCTTATCCTGCTCATTAGCTATTGGGGGACAAGCAATAAATTACTATAGATATGGAGAACGTAAAAGTTGTAAGTCAAAATGGGAAGACCTAAAATTTTGTTTACAACTTAAATCTAAACCCATTGACATTCGTAAGGTAAGTATTCCCTTATTTGATGGGAAAATGTATGAATTCAATTTAAATTTTATGTCATTATGAATAGAAATTGATATTGGAAAGAGAATCTCTTAAAGAAGAACAAAAAAGTAAAGAAAGAAGTTCTTTAGATGTTTGGGAAATCAGAGAGTAAGTGAGATTTTAAGGTTGCCTTTAAGTTTTTTTCTTATAGAACTTTTTTAATTTATTTTTTTTAATGAATTTTATAGTAAACCTTTGCAAAATTTTCCTCCAAATATACCCTAAATTTTAGTTTTAGAACAAATAATATTTTCATAAATTTTCATAATTAATGAGATTCGCTATTACACCATTCCTCATATTTTTGTTTATCTAATAATTCCTTAAATTCGTCGGGATTAGATAATTTTATTTTACATAGCCATCCTAAAATAAAAAAAGAAAAATTATTAAAAATAACTAAATGCATATTATTAAAAGTTATACTTACCGTCACTTTCAGGACTACTGTTTATTAAACTAGGTTTATCTGTAAGGTTAGAATTAGATTTAATTATTTCACCACTAACAGGTGCATAAATATCACTTGCAGCTTTAACACTTTCAACTGCACCAATATTATCTATCGAAAATACACAAAAAAATTCCCGTTAAATATTATTAAAATCTTTACTTTAAAAAGAAATTTCTTATAGTACACTTACCAGACTTTTTAACAAACTTCCCCTCTTCAGGTATTTCTACGAAAACTACATCTCCAAGAGAAGTTTGAGCATAGTCAGTAATACCGACTGTACCAATCCCATCATCATCAACATCAATCCATTCGTGTTCTTCAGTGTATTTCTTTTCTATATTTTATAACAATGAATACGTTATTTCATAAACTATTAAATTAACGTTCTGTGAACAACTTACTGCTGCTGTATTGCCTCAAAAACAACGAGTTTCCAAAGTTAGTAGCACTAATAATTATTGGTGGTCGAATATGTACTCTTTTATTACCAAAACCACCTAATACTGTTATCTTTGAAGAAAAACTACGTAGCGTTGTAAATGACATTCTGAAAAAAAAAATTGTTTCAAAAAAAGTGCGCGTGCAAGCCATCTCATTTGCACATCAGTCACGTGATATCAAAATTTTAGACATTCCTTTGTTTCATGAATGACGTAAAAAAATTTTATTACAATTGTCAAAAAGATGCCAAAGTAATTATTAAAACTTATTAAAATTTTTAACGTCGCATTAGATACACTAATTTGATCTTGTTTTAATTATTCAGAGATATAAATATAGGCAAAAATGCAGTCGTTTGTAAGGACATTGAAATTAGGGGCGAAATACAAATTGGTAAGTAGATTCAGACAAGTTTTACAGAAAAGCAGTAACTCAACATTTTTATCGTACCTTCTTTCTTTCTTGGTAAAACGTATTAATAGGAGCTGGTAAATATTTTTTATCTTACATTTTATTATTATTATTAGTATAAATTTATAAACCAACGTTGTAAATTCTAGGTACAATTTTACATCCTCAATGTAAAATTCTTGCCTTAAAAGGTCCAATTATCTTTGGTCAGAATAATATCGTTGAGGAAAATGTGACAATAATTAACAAGTAGACAATACTTTATTTTTTATATTTTTTTTTATTTCGTAATCTTTGATTCATAATGAATTTCTAGTTCACAGACAGCTTTGACTATCGGAAATGAAAATGTTTTTGAAGTAGGATGCTGTAAGTAAATTTTTATTTTCACAAATTTGAAATTTATTTCGTCATTTATATTAAACTTTTGTTTAGACGTTGAAGGAACGAAAATTGGGAACAGGAATATAATAGAAGCAAAAGGTAAAAATATATTTTTTTCCTTATTCGTAATTTGCCGTCAATCAAATTAACTTTTTTCTTTTTGACATACTAAATAGCAAGGATCTTAGGCAATACATCTCTAGGTGACAATTGTGTTATTGGTGCTGTATGTTCGACCAAGAAAGATGAGGTCATTCCAGATAATACAGTTATATTCGGTGATCATAACAACCGACGAACTCAAACAGCATCAGCTAATGTAAATTCTTTTATTTGTTTGTTTTTTTCAGTTTTGGACATTTCTGTGCTTATGTTATGAAACTTATATCTTATCAGCAACAGTCCAGCTTGCATACACGCCATTTGGATTATCTTCGAGAAGTTTTGCCTAAATTTAACCATGTCGCATCTGATTCGCAGGAAGCTGTTACTCACTCTGCTCATTCTACTCATTCGAGAAAAGTAAAACAAACAGCTTCCCATTAGAATACATAATCATAAGAGCTACAAACTTTTTATTTATTCTTAGCATTTGTATTTTAAAAGAACAAATGTCAATCATCCAATTTTTTTTATGAACTTCAGTTTTATTATTTTTATCGCTTTTAGTTTATTTTAACACGTAGTCATTAATAATTTCTTTCTTTGTTATTAAGGAACAATTAGACAGGATTAAGGAGACAATCAAATAAAAGTGAGGAACCAAGAATAAAGTTCGTGACAAAATTTCTTCCTGAGATTCCGTGAGAGGGATAGCTATTTACTTTGTGAAATGTCAAAAGAACCTATAATTAAAGGCTATATTTGTTATAATAGTAACGGCGGTCGGCATACATTTAGATCAATAATAAACGGATATTTACAACTAAACATTAATTGTTATCGAGAAAATATATAGCAATACATTTTGCTGTTTAATATTATAACTATAATTTAGGCCAAATTACAAGCTAATGACGGTAAACATAATGAAAGTTACAAAGCTGAGCTTCTCTCGCATTCTGGGGAGAACTTCTTGACGGAAAAGGAAAATTACTGTCGTTCATAACGGATTAAAAATAAAAATAGCGATATGATAAAAATAAAAACTTTAAAATAGATACAAGTAAAACATAGTCATCATCATATCACATCCTTTAAATACTTTTCTGATGGTATCATGCACAAATTCTAAGGGCAATTCATCCAATCCAACACCAATTCTAGGTAAACATAAATGTTTTACATTTAATTCTTCACAAACTTTTCTTAAATCCAATAAAGCTAATTCAAAATTTTCTCTTGTAGGTTTATGATAACACTTTTGTTTTGTAATAATGTAAAAAATATATCGGTTATCTCTTTTAAGTGTAGCAACCTGTCCAATTTTTTTATTCTGATCAAGTAATTCTTTTACACCGTAATATTTTCGTTTGAAAATTGTAGCTATGCCTTTACCCATTTTAAAATCTGCAGATACACAGTGAGCTAAACTTGAATTTTCTGGTGCATCAACAAATAAATCTCCTTGAATTTCTTTAAATATAAAGTTATTATCTTGAGTATTTGGTGAGACGATAGGATTTAGTTCATTTGCGTTAGTTTGGAATGATTGATCAGGAGACATTTGATTTTTTTTTAAAAGAATGTTTCGCTAAAAAAAGTGTTAATAAATTTTTTTTTTTTTGTTGCTTTTAATTTGCTTTTTTTTTTCTTTATAAGTATAGTTGATTGCCAAAATTAAACCTAATGTAGAAAAAAAGTTCAGCTAATTATCGAAATAAAACTGCGGCTAAATCACGAAACCAAGTACCGTACACGCAGTAAAACTGCGGTTGCATCACGAAATACCTCATCAAGTGAGTCATTTTCAGTCAAGTTACACGATCTCAAAGAAATATATAAACGAGTTCTGCTAATTCTTTTAATTTGTTAATAATTACAAATTTTTAAAGAGAAAATGTTGGACCTTAATCTTTTTCAACCTGATAAGGGTGGTGACCCTGGACTTATTCGAGAATCTCAACGAAAAAGAGGAGCTCCTATTGAATTAGTTGACAAAGTCATTGATATGTATGATAATTGGAGGAAAGGTTATTGTTCTTTATTAATTGATTCGTATCATTTTTATCGCATCTGAAAATTATTATTTTATTTGTGAGTAATAAAAATGATCTTATTCCTTTTTTGATAGAATTCAACTAACACTTTTTTTTTGATTAACTGCGTTAAATCTGGAAATTAAAGTAAGATTTGAATTAGATCAGATCCTCAAAAAACAAAATTCAATTCAAAAGGAAATTGGTTTAAAAAAAAAGGCGAGTTTAATTGACAATGTAAAAATCGCGTATTTTGTTTCAATTAAAACGTATCTATAATCTTTGTTTTCTTTCATTAAAGAATAAAGAAGATGCATCAACACTGATTGCAGAGAAAGACTCCCTTAGTTCTGAAAAAGATCGTCTTACCGCTCTAGAAAAAGAAAAAGAAGAGTCTCTTAGAGTAACAGCTGCTACTATTGGTAACATTGTCCATCATTCAGTTCCTACTTCATTAGATGAAACAGATAATGAAATTATTAGAAAATGGGAACCACCAGCAGATACGGAAGGTGGAGATGGTGAGAGAAAACCTATTAAAAAAACAGGTATCCTTTCACATCATGAAGTGTTATATAGAATTGACGGATATGATCCTGAAAGAGGTAAAATTTCATCTACTATTACATATTATATATTGTAAATTATCATCTTACTCTTTACAATTAAATAGGAACAAATATTGCTGGTCATCGAGGTTATTTTTTGACAAATGATGGTGTGGATCTTAATATGGCACTTATACAATATGGACTTTCATTTTTGAGGAAGAGGGGTTATAAAAAATTGCAGACGCCATTTTTTATGAGAAGAGAATATATGGCAAAAACTGCTCAATTAGAACAATTTGATGAAGAGTTATATAAAGTAATATCTAACATTATTTGTTAACTTATATTCTATGTTGCATTTGGAATAATAATTATTAATTCGGTATAGGTTCTTGAAGAAAAAAGTGAAGAGAAAGATGAAAAATATTTAATTGCAACGTCAGAACAACCTATTTCGGCCTTTCATGCGAATGAATGGTTTGAACGACCATCGGAACAATTGCCATTAAAGTGAGTATATTAAGTAACGCATTTTATTCACAGTTTTGTTAATTGTTTTTTGATGTATTTTATAAGATACGCTGGATATTCTACATGTTTCCGTAAAGAAGCTGGAGCTCATGGAAAAGATACATGGGGAATTTTTAGAGTTCATCAATTTGAAAAAGTTGAGCAATTTGTTATTACTGAACCAGAAAAATCTTGGGAACAGTTTGATGAAATGATTAAATTTTCTGAGGAATTTTATCAATCACTTGGACTACCTTATCAAATAGTTTCAATTGTTTCTGGAGCACTTAATAATGCTGCAGCAAAAAAATATGATTTAGAAGCTTGGTTTCCTTATCAAGGGGAATATAAAGAATTAGTTAGTTGTTCAAATTGTACTGATTATCAATCCAGAAGGTTGGAAATTAGATGTGGTGTAAAAAAAATGGGTGATCGTGAAAAGAAATATGTACATTGTTTAAACGCTACGTTATGTGCTAGTGAGAGAGCTTTATGTTGCATTCTGGAAAATTATCAAACACCTGAGGTACGGAATATTTGAAAAGTTTATTTTGGTGTATTTTAAAATTATTTGATTAAATTTTCTTTTTTCATAGGGTGTTGTTATACCAGAAGTACTTCGTCCATACATGGATGGTAGGGATTTCTTACCATTTATTAAAGCTTTACCAAAGAAAAAATAAAGTCGTATTATTTCTTTTTATGCATCATAATTTTGAAGTGACTTCAGATTGTAATCCTAAAAATTGTTAGATTTTTTAATTTGAATAAAATAAATTGAAGCATATGTAATTTTAAAATGCACGAACATAAAGGATTGTAAGTTTATTACAACGACATTGCAATCTCATAATTACGAAACATTTGTAACACATTTTTTTTTATGTTTTATAAAATCATTTATTTTGCTTAGGTTTTCATAGGTTTATATTAATAAACTTATGTAAGACCTAAATATTGAAAAGGCCTGAATTTTTTTTTTACATACGAAAATTGGAGTAAAATTTTTTTTTTTACAAGAAAAAATAAGCTAAAATAAGCTAAAATACAACATTTTTTGTTGTTTAAATGAAAAAAAAAAAGTATTAAAATTTAAATTTCCTCTAAAACCTCTCAGCACCAAATGGAGAGAGAGATGTGAGGATTTTTATTGAAAAAAAGAAATTAAAAGAAAAAAAAAGTGACCTTTTTCTGGTGGTAAACAAAAACAAAAAAAAAATGTTTTAAAAGTTCGTTTATTTGTTTGACCACCAAGTCACGAAAATAATTGTTGTATAATAAATTTTAAAAGGTCATATATTAGTTGAATTATAAATTTACTCCAAATTTTTTTTTTTTAAAAGAAAATAAAAGAATTATATATATAGAGCTTAAAAATTACAAAGAGGTAAAAGGGATTCTTATGGTTTGTTTATACCATATAAAAAAAAATTATATTTGCATGGAGGTCCCAAATTACAACTTTGTAATTTCGAGCTTAATATTCTTCAGCTTCCTCTTCTTCTCCTTCAAGTGAATCAGTTCCCACTTCCTCGTAATCCTTCTCCAACGCGGCCAAATCTTCACGTGCTTCAGAGAATTCACCTTCTTCCATACCTTCACCGACATACCAATGGACGAAAGCACGTTTGGCGTACATCAAGTCAAATTTGTGGTCTAAGCGTGCCCACGCTTCAGCGATAGCAGTTGTATTTGATAACATGCAAACAGCACGTTGAACTTTGGCAAGATCACCACCAGGGACAACGGTTGGGGGTTGATAGTTAATACCAACTTTAAAACCGGTTGGACACCAGTCTACAAATTGAATGGTCCGTTTGGTCTTGATGGTGGCAATGGCGGCGTTGACGTCTTTTGGAACGACATCGCCACGGTATAACAAACAACAAGCCATATATTTGCCGTGGCGTGGATCACATTTGACCATTTGATTATTTGGTTCGAAGCAGGAGTAGGTAATTTCGGCCACAGTAAGTTGTTCGTGATAAGCCTTTTCGGCGGAAATAACTGGAGCGTATGTGACCAATGGGAAATGGATACGAGGATATGGGACCAAATTTGTTTGGAATTCAGTCAAGTCAACGTTGAGTGATCCATCGAAACGAAGTGAAGCCGTAATAGAAGAAACCACTTGAGCAATTAATCTGTTCAAATTAGTGTAGGTTGGTCGTTCAATGTCAAGATTTCTCCTGCAGATATCATAAATAGCCTCATTATCGACCATAAAAGCACAGTCTGAATGTTCCAAAGTAGTATGAGTTGTTAAGATAGAATTATAAGGTTCAACGACGGCAGTAGAGACCTGTGGTGCGGGATAGACGGAGAATTCCAATTTGGATTTCTTTCCGTAATCAACAGAGAGACGTTCTAAAAGTAAAGCACCAAAACCAGATCCGGTACCACCACCGAAGGAATGAAAAACTAAAAATCCTTGGAGACCAGTGCAGTTATCAGCAAGCTTGCGAATACGATCAAGGACGAGGTCGACGATTTCTTTTCCAATAGTATAGTGACCACGAGCATAATTATTTGCAGCATCTTCCTTTCCGGTGATCAATTGCTCAGGGTGAAATAACTGGCGGTAAGTACCAGTACGGACTTCATCGACGACGGTAGGTTCCAAATCAACAAAAACGGTGCGGGGAACGTGTTTGCCAGCTCCGGTTTCAGAAAAAAAAGTATTAAAAGAATCGTCGCAAATACCGACGGATTTGTCTGATGGCATTTGACCATCGGGCTAGAAATGGAGAGATAGATTAATAAGTATATCATAGTTAAGCAAGATAAATAAATATCTCTAAATTAGGTGAAAGTTAATACAACAAAAATCAACGCGTTTTTCTCCCAGATGAGAGAAAGTTACACAAAAAAAACTGTAAAAAAAAACCGGGAACTACTTTTTAGGACGCGTGGTTGTGCCAGATGAGGCGTTTAGAGTATATAATTTTTACTTCTCATTTTGTTTATTAATCTTTTTTGTTCGCGTTTTGTATTATTGTTGATAATAACTTTGCTCTCTTTCTTGGTTTTAAAGGTTAAAATACTCACTTGAATACCGTGCTCAAGGCAATAAAGTTCCCAGCAGGCGTTACCGATTTGGACACCGGCTTGACCAACGTGGATAGAAATACACTCACGCATGTTGTTAAAATAAAAGTTTGAAAAAAAAAAAGATTTAAAAGAGTTATAAAAGAAGAGGAAGCGAGTTTCTTCGATATTTGAAAAAAAACACTAGGGGTTGGTTGTGCTCACTTATGTTAGGGAAAGTAAGCTAAAGAACCTAAAGAAAAATTTTTTTTGGGCGAGCTCTATATAAATGAAAATTGGGACCACACTGATCCGGAATAATCCGTTTCTTACAGGTGATACAAGGTGATACAGAAGTGATCAACAACAATTAAACGCCAGCCGCCTCCTTTGTACTAATGAAAAGTGTTACTAATTCTAGAATACAGGGACCCATAAATAATCAAAACTGACTAGTATTATTTTAAAGTTAAATAAGCGACGAACAATCCAATCAATTTTATCAAGAAAAGATCACAAATATTCTTCTTTTGGTTTTGACATACAAAACAAACTATCCATTTCGTACAATGTTTCAAGGAGGCCGTTAATGGTTAATAATTACGAAAATCTAGAAAGAAGTAAAGGGCTACACTTTCGTTAATCGCCATGATATGACCTAAACCTTATTTTTATTCGCGTCAAAAACGAAATTTCAATGTTATTATTATATAACAAGTCTTTGGCAGTTGGCACTTGACTTGATAATTTTTTTAGCACAATTACTTTGTTGAAATTAACAATACGGTTGATTGTACTAATGTTTATTAATCAAAAATAACAAAAATAATAAACAAAAAATTCAGGGATGTTTGCCAGTTTTTTTTTTTCTTTGTACTATAGTTACGTGAAGCACACGAAAATTATTTCCAATTTTGACAAATCTTAAATCCTGAACGTAAAAATAAATGAAAGAATTCCTAAATTAAATATAAATTAGCGTGCCATGCGCATTTAATTTTATCATGATAGATTTTTAGATAAACAAAAACACGCGAATCTCAAAAAATCAAGTAATATTGCATTTTTTTTTTTATAATAAACCTGTTGTGTTCACCTCGAAATTAAATTCTTTTCTATATCAGATCTCAATCACATGATAGTTCCGCACTGCCACATCTATAAGACATAATTCAAATACAGTTTATACTTTTATAGGCGTTTTTTTCTTATTATTTAGGTATAATTAAATTTCTGAATAAATCAAAAAATTTGTTTAAATAATTATATTTAAAAATAATTATCTACATATATTTCTGCATTATTAGCATTAACTGATAAAAAAAATATTTATAGTTTTATATAATTACAGTATATTTATATAAAGTTTTATTAATCATTTAATATTAATAGAATAAATCCAAAATGATATTTTAAATTATTTTTAATACTTTATATAAATTATATTTATTGATCTTAAAGGCTTTGATATTATATTTAAAATATATTATATATTAAGTCAAATACTTATTGTATAATGTGATACAGATAATTATAATAAAGGTTATATTCACAGTACTAATTAAAAACCTACCCAATATATATAAATTTTGTTATTTTAATGTCCATTTTTAATATATAACTTTTATATTATACTAAAATATCCATTTTAATCATATAATTTATATATAAAATCAAAACAAGTTAAATAGTTAGTATACTAAATAATTACAAATATTTTAAATTTCTAAAAAAGCCAAGTAATTTTTTAAAGTTATATTTAAAGATATAAAGATTTATTTCTAAATAATAAGTGCAGAATTATATATATTGATATATTGTATTAATAAATATTTATTTGTAATTAATTAATTTAAAAAAATATTATTATTATTTCTTTTTTTTTTTATTTATAGGAAATAAACTTTTAGGCTATAATTATCCAGGTGATTTCTCACTCCTTTTCTGAATTTAATATATAAAAATAATATCATACAAATTATTTTTTCAATTAATATAACTTTATATAACTTTTAAAATTATAATTTATAGATTTTGTCTATTTTACAAATTTACTTAATACTTTAAGAAAAGTTATAAATACCATTTTTGACATATTTAATAATTATAATTTGAAAGATAAGAAATATCAAATTTAATCTAAAATAAAAAATAAATTTACTTTATTTTTTTTATTTTATATCTAAATAATTTTTTTTAGTAAAATTTAAAATTGGCAATATTAATATTAAAATTAAAAGTTACTAAAAATTAATTCCTTTTGTTATAATTAGATTGCCACAGATTTTTAAGCGATCAATGTATTAAATTTCCATTGACATAAAATATATAATATGTTAAAAGAAAATTGCAGTTAATATACAGTACTTCTTTAAATTTTTTTATTAATTAGTAATTAAAATTTTTTATCACCTGGCTACTAATTGGTATTTAGGATTTTTTCTGCCAGTTATAAACTGGCGGACCAATTAGTATATCTAGGATGATAAAAAAGTTATTTACTGATCTAGTTTAGTATATAAATGGGCCATCATCCTTCGGATAATAACCCATTTATATACTACTAGATTAGTAAATAACTAATACATATTCATTTATGGTAAATTTTACTGGAATATGATTTACATTATATTTTATATAAATTTAATAAGTTTTATAGTGAAATTTATCTGCTAATAAAATATTCATTAAAAAAAAAAAAAATTTACTTTAATTATACTATAATATTATATAAAAATTTACTTTTTTTTGAAAATAAAAAAGTTTAAATATTAATATAATTAAGGTTGTCTGCTTAAACCTTTCCAAAATTCTATGATTAATTTCTCCAAAATTTTACTATAGTTTTATTATAGTTTTGGCAAGGTTTTGGCAGTTTCAGCATTTATAATAAGTTTCGTCAGGTTTTGTTTTTCTTCAGAGTTTTGCTAATTTTTTAATAAGACTTTCATATAGTTTTGGCAAAGTTTCACTATTTTGGCATTTCGCCAACTTGCCAAAACCTTCTAGTTTCTCCACAACCTTAAATATAATATAATAAAAATTATTTCTAATAAATTTCATCTCTAATAACTGAAATATTAAAATAATTCTAAATTTAATAAAATTTTTTATTCTATAAAATAAATTTAAATCTAAAAAATATAAAAAAATTTGATATAATTTAAATGACTAACTGCTAAAAAAATTTATATTAAAATATAGTAATTAATTTTAATAATCATTAAATTAAATAATTTCAAATTTTCACATAATATCTATACTATAATATATTAAAATTTGAATTACTGGTTATTAAAAGAATTTCAGAATATATGTTTATAAATTATATTTTAGTTTTAATAAATTAATCCAAATTTAACTTAAAAATTCAATTTAAATTTTTAATAAATTTAATATTAAACTTTAAAAAATAATTTTACTATTATTTAACTTATCTCAATAAAAGAAATCAAATGGTATAAATTTTATTAAAATCTAATTGCTAATTAAGATTTTACAATTAATAACTATTATATAAATAAATATTTAAATGTAATGATTTTACCAATATTAAAACTAAAAAAATAATTTTACTATCATTTGATTTGTTTCAATAAGAAAATAAAATAATATAAATATAAAATAATTTGTATAATTTTTGTTAATATTAAAAATAAAAAAATAATTTAATTCATCTTAATAAAAAAAATAAATAAAATTGAATAATATAAATTTTATTAAATATAATTACTAAATAAGATTTTATAATTAATAATTATTATAAATAAATACATTGATCTCTATTAATATTATTAATATTGAATTTAAAAAAATGATTTTACTACTACTTCATATTTAATATTTTAGTATATTCATATATAATTTATATGTTATAATTAGATTTTAACAGATAATAGCATTTTTAAGAATAGTAAAATACTCATATTTTTATAAGATTTTTTATCAAGATTTCTTTAGATTAATTAAAATTTTTAATAATTTTTTTTAAATATATATATAAATTAATTTACAAAAACTTAATATAACTTTTTATAATAATTTTCTATTTATTTAATATTATAATTAATAAACTTTTATATGAATTTAGTTTTATTTAATTATATTGTATAATAATTAAAATATTCAAATTTTTTTAATTGCAATTTTTTTTTAATATACTATTATTACTGTATATATATTTTAAAAGTAAAATAATATTGAATTTTTGGTAAATTATTTAAATTTTTAGGTAATATAAATTTATAAATTAATATAAAGTAAATTTTAGTAAATATTTATTATATTATATAAATCTGTTTAATAGAAAATTGAACTTCTTTTAATGATATTCTTTTTTTTTTAATTTTATAATATATTTGTATTTTATTATAAAATATTAAATTATAACTATATATTAAAATTATTAATTTATTTTTTTTAAAAAAATAAATTTTAATATATTGTTTAATATACTTTATTTTATAAAAACCAAACTACAATAGTAATTAATTACAAAAGAAATTATAAATCCAAGAAAATTTCTATGAAAAAAAACAATTCAGTAAAAAGTTTATGAAAAAAAAGTTTAGTATACATAAAAAATTCACATCATTTGCAAATTCTAACAACTAATTAAACTAAGTATAATTATAATTCCTATTACTGATTCAAACTAATCTACTTAATTTCTGTAAAAATATTCAAATCTTTATTAAAACCTTTTAGTTAATATTGTGTTAGCTGAATCGCATTTATAAATATAATTTCTTGGATTTTTTCAAGATTCTTCAGTTAACCTTTTTCTTATTAGAAGAGAAATTATTAATTTAATAATATAAATAAAATAATTTTATATTTTTTTAAAAAAAAGATTTTTTTAATTTATTTATACCTTTACTGCTGTATTTTATTGAGAATATTTTTAAAAATTCAAATTGGAATCTATTTATATTATTTTATTATATAAGATTCTGGACTTTTTAATACAATAGCAAAGCAAAATATTTTATATAAATACAGGATATTAGTTAAAAAATATAAGAAGTTAAGCTTATAAGTTACAACTTCAGCTTTATGTTTCTTAAGTGAATAAATAAGTAGAGTTGTAACTTTTTATTTTTTAATAAATATTTTTTAATTTCTAGGTGTTTTATCCATTTCATTAGAATAAAGTGAATAAAGATATTCAAATCTATTTACTAATCCTAATTAGAAATAAATATTTACATAAAAATTAAATTAATTTTTGCTTTATTTAATATTTTTTACAACTGAAGTTTCAATTATCTGAAGCTAATAAATAAATGAGTAATAGATTTAATGCAATTTTAATTCAAATACTTCAAGATGATTTAATTTCAAGAACTCTGGAGAGAAATAAAAAAATAAAACAGTAGTTTCTCCTACATATATTTATTTATTTTCAAAATACTCATATTGCCGTATTGTGGTTATCATCATTATATCACATGATATTCGTTATAAATTTATGCTAATGTCTGCTTTAATTTCAAGTGCACACCTTATCATTTAATGCATATAATATGCGAATAAACTACTACCACATCAATTCCCTTACGCAAAGTTTGAAATTCTTACCCAATGCATGGTTCCTTGAAATATGAGAATTTCATTTCTGATTTTTTTTGTGTATATGTTATTAATAATCACGTAACAGTCGTAACATCCTGTCCATTGGTCAGAATCGAAATCACATGACTCCATTTTCCAACGTACTCTGGTCGTTGTCGGAAATAATTCCAATGCCTTATCCACATCCTGTTCATTATCTATTTCATTGGCTATTGCATTTCAACCTGTCAAGGATGGTTCGAGTCCCTCCTCGATTATACCCAACAATTCTACCATTCTAAGAAGTCAAATATATTAAATTTTTTTTTTCTAAAAAAAAAATTTCAAAATTAATTACTGTATATATTAATTGAGATATTTAATAATATTTAAGATTATTTTATTTGCTATACTTCAAACAGATCAATAAATAGTTGCATGGTCTCATTGTAATTTAGGTAACACTTTATCTATGAGTAATTGAATAGGTCTAATCACAAAGCCAAGCCCATAGTGAGTTTGGAACGGAATAAGTTCGGCTGTATTTTATTTATAGTAATTTTTTTTTTTATATAGCTATTTAATGCAATTACAAAAGGATTATGTCTCATTTTTATTAGATTTTCGGTCAAGTGTAATCCGATGAATCAATCTAGCATGCAACGAGGGGTTGAAAGATCCTTTTACATATAATAGTACATGCATTTAAGAAAGTAATCGTAATAACCGAAAGGTAAATTTGCTTTATAAGGATTAATTAGATTTTTAAGAAATAAATAATAATTATAGTTTTATATTAAATTTTCATTGAAGTGAAGTACGTGTTTGAAAGTGTTTTTATTTGAAATACAAATAATAAATAAAGGGGGCTTTTTACACAGGAAAACTTTAAATTTCTCAATAACAATCAAAAACGGAGAACTGAATGATAAATTTTTTTTTATTACGCAATGTTTCTTTAAATTACCCAAATAAATTGGTTTTATGTAATAATACATTAATTATATTAATTATTTTAATTTCTAACTTTAATTGGTTAAAATGAATAATATATAAGTAATTTTTTTCAATCAACCAAGAATTTTTATAATTCGATACGAATACGCAAGTGGTTACGCCAAAATCTGTATTATTATGCATTTTGAAAGAAGGAATTTACCGGGAAATTTTCTTTTTTAAAAAAAAAAAAAAAAAAAATAAATTATAAAGATTTGTTTATTGAACGATAAAAAATAATATTGATGAAATTCGCATATTTTAATAATTTAGGCTCAGGACAAGGATATGATAAAAATAAAAAAAAAAAAAAATTTTTTACAAAATTAACAAATAATCTTCCTTGTTTAAAAGAATATTCTAGGATTATCAGCGGAATTACCGGATTTGTTATTTAAGTTCATGCAGGTTCACTAGAATCAAATAAAATTAATGAGAATTGAATTTTTTTAAAACACTAGAAAATATATTTTAAAAGATTTACAATATTATAATAATATTGGTCCCTGATTAAAGTAATACAATATATATTTGTGTTTTGGATGAACAAATTAAAAAAAAATTTCTTAAGTGTTACATTTAACGCATGTAAAGAAAGAATTTTTATACGTGTATTTATATGTTATATTTAATGGTCGGTGATTAATTGATTAATTGATTAAACTTATCGTAACCATTCATTACATTCATTATTTAACTAATATATATTTATGTGTGTTACGCGTTAATACGTTTTAAATTATTAATATTGTATTTAAAGAGATAAATTGGTTTTGGTTTCACCCTTTTCTTTTTTTCTGGAGTTCTTCTTGTAAAAGCTCTTTTTTATGCAAATATTTTAAAAAAAAAGAAAAGTAAGTTTTCGATAAATTATTAATTGAATTTGAAAGGTTACAATTATTTCGGGATCGAATGTTGATCCGAAATGATTTCCAAGCGTTGGGAATGTTGGGAATGTTGGGAATGTTGGGAGTGTTGAAATGTTGAAATGTTTAAAATCCCTTGAAAAAAATTGAAATCCCTTGAAAAAATAAAAAAATATTATCACGCGTACAAATTCAATCAACTTACGTGACAAAAAAAACGCGAAATTATTATAATTAAAAATTAATTTATTTTTCTTTTTTTTTATAGACTTTTAGGTACATACCTTCCTTTTGAAAAAAAAAATTAAAAATATCTGGACCTATAAAGATTTTTCATTTAAAAAAATCCTTTCATAATGGGTACCCCACTAGAATTAGGATTTTTATCTTTTAGTGTTGCATTTACGTCCATATCATTCATATTTTTATTATATCAATGTATAATAAATTTTACAAAATTACGACTTGCGTGGTAAGATTTTTTTTTTCCATATTTTTTATTTATTTATTTATTAATTAATTAATTATTTATTTATTTATTTAATTATTTATTATAGTTTATTATCCACATTTACAATAATTATAATTAGTATAAGTAATTTTTACTGGGATCAGGATCCAACAAAATTATTTATACCAAGAAGTGTTTATTGGATATTATTTGCATTTATTAGAGCAACTTATACGACTATAATAGTCGTATGTATGTTAGATATGGGTAGAAAATTTTATGAAAAATATCGTTGGAATACTACACTTTTTAAAGCTACTGTATTACATTTAATTATTTTTGACTGTATAAATATTGCTGATGCCGTTTTAATTCTCATTCATCTGAGTGATACATCTAATTTACCTTTATTTATCGGTCAGGTATGTATTAAAATATTTTAAATTCTTTTAAATTTTATATATATATATTCTAAATTTCTTTCTTTTATTCATATAGTTGATTGTAGGAGTTATAACAATACTATCATCATTCCTCTATTCTTTCTTACCGGTTATATCATTACGTATATGTTTTAATAACAGACAACAATCATCTATTATTAAAAGAAAAAGAATGAATAATATAAGCGCTCAATCAGCTGCTGTAGGTGCTTGGTATATGAGCATAACTGGTATATTATCAATTTGTTATTTAATACTTTATTTGGTCACTTTTGCTTTTACGGATAAATTAAGTTATAGTGCAATTGGTAACTCTTTTGATTCATTAATAAGAACTGGTATTTCTTTAGCTGTAGCTTTACCCCCTCCTACTAAATTAATTCAATTTATGAAATCAAAAATTATTATATCTTATGATGTTCCTCATGATTCTAATGATATTAGAGAAAGTTGCAAAGTTTTAAAAGTTGATGATCAAGAATTTGAAGAATCTGCTTAAATTTCCTTTAAAGATATACTTAATAATAATATATGTGTAAAAAAAAAAACAAAAAAAAAATTTAAAAAAATTTATAAAATTTAATTATTTATATATTGTCACGTGGCACAGCAAATAAGTTTTGCATAAATTAAATTTGTATAGGCGACAGTAGATTTCTTATCATTAGAATTAATTTTTTTTAATATTGTATATAATTTTTGATTTATTTAACATTTATTTATTTTTATTCAAGTTTCATTTGATATTTCTTGAAATAAAATTAATAAAATTCCAATTGCAAATTTTCTTGTAAAATGACAAAATGATAATAGAAAACTCTATGTATCAACCTATCAATATCTATATATATAATTTCATTGCTCTTTTACCTAGTAATAATACAATTTTTTTCTGTTAGATTATAATTAAAATTACAAAAAACTATGAATATTACAATTCTATTTTATTCTTCTATCATCAACTTTTGAAATACTCTCTCCAATACAGAAAACGCTTCATCACCTAATCCAAGAAATATTACATTTTGGCATACCTAAATAATTTTTTATATTATTAATAATTCTTCAAAATCATATCACTTAATTTCAATTACCTGCTCAAAATTTCTAGACGTTATTGTATCCATCCAAGCTTTATCGTCATGATTATATAACCATGTTAAAATTGGTTCAATCGTAGAAATTGATGGTATAGGAATGGTCATCCTTGTTACATATCTTCCATAAGAAATTGGTCGAAGAAATATCGTTGTTGAAAAATAATGAACCATTTTTGAAAATAATTCACTCTGTGGAGATAAATATTGTAATTGTACAACAATCTCTAATGTCATCGGTTTTTTATGTTGTTGTGTAATTTGACTCGAAGATGATGAACCTGATAAAGTTGGTGAATAATAAAATGATGTTGTAGTTGAAGAATAAGAAGTTGGTTCATCATCTTTTTGTTCAATATCATCATCACAAATTCCATTATCATCAATAAATTGTTCTTTAAAAAGTTCATCTAATGCTTCAGCAGGTTCAACTTCTTTTATGTCAAATTGTTCCGAATCAGATAATGATATTAAAATTGATTTATTGTCAGCAAAAGAATATTTTCTATTCCATTCTGTAAAACTTAATAAACGTACAATAGTACATTTATGAAAAATTGTAGAACCAAGTAATGTCATTTGACCAAGAAGTTGATAAAATGTTGAAACTCCTAATTCTGTTGGAAAATCAACTTCAACGATTTCATTTATATGATCACTTGGTAAATTTGGCATGTTATTTGTAATAGATTGAATAAATGAAAAAAACCATGATGTTGTCAATTCTTTATTTACTGTGGATGGCATTTCTGAAATATGGGGTGTAATAATATCATCAGCTAGTTCTCTCTTCTTTCGAAAATTCGATTTTCTTAGGAAAAAAAATCGATGATGATTTTTAATAATAATACTTTACCATTACGCTTTCTCTTTTCTTGTTCCAAGATATTATTCTTTTTAATAAAAGAAGTAAGTTTTGAATAATTAAGCGGAAAACCCATGTGGAAATTGGTCAACTTTGGATCAGAACAAAAAAAAAACCAACAAAATTACGATATGTAAAAAACTATATATATATAAAAGAGTATCCATGAAGTTACAATAATGTAACAAACTATATTTAGTTCAAAAAAAAAAAAAGATCCAAAAAAAAGTATATATATATCTATATAAAATAAAAATTAAAAAAAATACCAAAAATACCAAATTCGCGAAAAAAAGATGTACCATCAAAAAATAATAACAATAGTATTATTACGTGATCTGATTCATATATAGAGGTACGAAGAAAAAAAAAGTCATTTATTATCATATGTTTATTACACGTTGTTTTTGATTTTCTTGTTTATCCTAAAAATATCACCAAAATTTAGTCGTTTTATAAAGTTTAATTATATTATTATTATTATTATATTTTAAATGTACTCCTGTACTCCTTGAATAAAGTGATTAATGTAATTAAGTAATTTGATATAATTTGATACAATAATCAAATGATCAAATTTCACTTGCTGATTAATTTTATTTTTTTACTTGAACAAACCACTTATATTTAAGAAAAAAAAGAATTTTGATGGATGAGGAAATTGGAACACGAATTAAACGTAATCAATTTCTTATCATGTGATTTGATTTGCGTTACTCCGTTACTCCTCGCGAGAAAATATTATGTAAGAATAAGTACGTTATTATAGAATGTCTAAAAGGCCAAATCTTCTAAGTTGTATTTACAATAATGTGAATGTTTAATTATTATTTTTTTATTATAAATTATGAAATAAATATTAAGGAATTGCTTGTTACAATGGTGAATTATTGAAGTTGTAATGTAAGAGTTGGATAAAATTCACTCTTATTTATTAATACTTTATATATAAGAAAAACTAGATACTTCTCCTCCATAATACATAATCTTTTTTTGACGAGTTTTTTTAACTATATGATATATATATTAATAATCTAATTCAAGGAAATGAAAAGAATAAAGAAGAATAAAAGGATAAGTAAAAATAAAATTAAACCAAGGTAAAAAAAATATTTACCAGTGTAATTTTCACCATATATTCAGTATATATTCATTATGTTAAATTTAAATTTTTTGTTTTAAAAAAACTAATAATTTTATTAATAAAAAGTAGTTAAAAAGAAGGTTTATATAAATATATACTAAAAATACAATCAATTTATAATTTAAATAATAAAGCTAAAATAGAATATTTTATATTACAAAAAATGCCAAAATCAGTTTTTTCCTCCAGTCTTTTTTATCTTACTTTCAGAAATAATATTGCATTTTATAGAATCTGCTTACTAATACAAAACAAGTTTTTTTGATAGTGATTTTATATCTTTAAGGTTTATTGATAAATAAACTTCTCTCCAAATTTAATATATCTATCATATTAATATTTTGTATTTATTAACTATGATTTCTTCATTCATTTAAATGTAAATACTGAAGCATTTTTTACAAATAGACAAAAAAAAAATTTTTCAGTATATTTCAATAAATTTTCAGTATATTTTTAGTATATATTCAGTAATATTAATATATTTTTGGTAAATTCAGTTAAAGATGTTAGCCTTAATTATTTTTAAAAAATTTTGAATTACAACTATAAAATTCTTATAGCTTTAATTAATTAATTATAACATATAAAAATTTTGTGTTACAGCACTTTTTTGAATTACGACTAACATATTTAAATTCAGTTCATTTAGATTCAATATATTTATTAGTATATTTGATATATTCAGTTTAAAAAATTTATTAAATAAAAATTATTAATTGCATGTTTTTTAATATATTAGCAATTAAGCTGAAAAAAAAAGACTATAACTAATAATGTATATATCTTAAAAAATATTAATAATAAAGGTTATTGACTTGGTAGTGCTTATGAGCAAAAATTCAAAAAAAAATTATATTCTGCATTTAAATCTAAAAGTAAAATTAATGATCTTAGTAAAAAGTTATTGATTGAGTATTTTGAACAAAAGGAAGAGTTTCAGTGAATCTATGCTAACGATAAAAATAACTAAATAATATAAATACTAAATTTAAATTTAAAATTAATTTTGATCAGATAACTCATATTAAGCTTAAAGCCAAATATTCTATCTGCTAAAATTAATTTTAAACAGATGTTCTATACTGAATTTGAAGTTAAATATTCTTTTAAACTAAAATCACTTAAATCTTTAATTAAAACACTAAAAAAAAAGCAGATTTAAACTTATGTAAGATTTTTAGAATGTTTTTTCACTTATTAATTTTAATTGCTGATCCATCACTTAATAATATAAAATTAATCTGTAAATCTAATGTAAATTTTATATAAATTACATTAATTGGCATATTTTAATGCTGATTTTGTCTTATAAGATTACATTTAAATATAATAATGACTTATCAATCAAATAATACTAAATATGAATAATCTACAAAAAAAAAAAATTTATTATTTAATATAAAATTTAACAAATTTATTTTAAAGAAAGTTACCATTCCATCTTATATTTTAATTAAATTAATTTTATATACAAATTTTACAAGTTTTTTTTACATTATTAAAAAATATATAATATTTTTTTTTAATTTTTTTGGCATATCTTGATTCTACTAATTTTGAAAAACACATTCAAGTAAAGTAATATCTTTTTCTAGCAAAATTTTGAAGTATTTATATTGTTATAATTTAAGAGAATTACTAAACTTAACCTGGGGGAATTTTCCTCCCCTTTCCCTTTATTTCAATTTTTAATTAAAATATTGACTTGTATAGTAATTTAAGAATAAGATTATATGTAAATTTATGAAAAGAAAAGGTTTTATTAAGTTAAAAAGGGTAGTTGTTCAGATGGTTTTTGAGAAAATTACATAATTTTGATTTTATAGTTAAATTATATTTTTCATGATAAAAATTTTTTTTAAAACCAAAAATTGCCAAATTTTTATGCGATTAATATCCACTTATATTTATTTTATATATTTCATAAAAAAAGTTTATTTTTTTTAAATTTTTGAGGGGGGAGGAATTATCCCCCGGTTAAGATTAGCAATACTCATAATTTAATATATAAAAATTTGTTAAAATTTATTATAGATTACTAATTATTTTATACTGTTGAGTGGTAAACTAACAATTAATTGATTTTTTGCAGGAAAAATATTTTTGTTTGCTATAATGCAGTAGATTTTGTAATAATCTAACTAAGAAAACACTAAAAGTGATATGTATTTCATCCACTAAGTTTAAATTTTCACTTAATAGTGCATATATAAGGTAATTTTATATTATGACAAATGATTTGACAATTAATAATATTAGAACTAGGATTTTAATATTGCTTTTATATATCTGTTATTTTAATAAATTATCAAATATGCTGTAATAATAAAAAAAAAAATTATAAATTTTTTTTAAATGTAAAAAATTTATTATTTAATATTAATTATATTTACCAGTATTTTTAATTAAAAATTTCTTAATTTACATTAAATATTTTTATATATATTATAAAAAAAAATTATATAAAAATTTTTAATAAATATAATTTTAAAAATATATAATATAATATATGTATTTTTGTTTATTTTGCAAATTTATTTAAAGTATCAAAGTGAATTAAAAGTATAAAAGAAAAAAATTTCACTACTAATCACATGGATTATATTTTTATGAATTTTTCAACTATTAAAAAATATTAAAATATAAACTAAGTTGTTGATAAAACTTCAGTTTTATTTTTAAAGAGGCAAATATCTTACTGAAGAGCTTGCTGAAAGATAGTTTATTGACTTTATTGATATAATTTTGAAATATTATCACAATTCAAATATAACTAAAATTTTCTAAATCTTTGTGAGTTATTATTTAAAATTCCAAATATATATAATCATATGTATAATTTAAATTCAAAATATAATAAATAACTCAGAATTTACAAATATTAATTAAAAAAGAATACATGCATTTTGTATATATTTTTATCATGTTTGCAAAACTTTGAAAATACTTTCTAAAGACAAAATGCAAAATGTTTATAAAAAAAATCTGCTGACCTGAATATGTCAATAAAATCTACTAATAACCTACCAGTTATACAACATTATTCTTCATTAATAAATAAAAAATTATTGGAAATTTTAAACACTAATCAATGGATATACATATTGCATTATTAAAAAAACTACTAAATGTATAAGCTAAATCCTTTACCTTTAAAGGTAAAAATAAACAGATCAATTACACTAAAATGATATCACAAAATGCAAATAGTAATAATAGCAGGTCAAATTCTTTCATACCTTTTAGAAGTAAATCACAAAAATAAACTACTTTGAAAAGTAATAACATCAGTAATAAAAGTATATAGCATAAAATTAAGAAATAACAATATACTTTAGAGAAGAAAATTTTAACAATTATGACTGAATATAATTTATTAATTAAAAACAATATCTGTAAAATTATTATTTATGATATCCTTTTTAAATGGTCTCAACTCAAAATCTAAACTATCTTAAAGAATAAAATCACATAATTGCTATAAAACTTAAATTACAGAAAAAATATGTTACAGTTACTGTATTAATCAACCTTAACAAAATGGCTTTAAGACATTATTCCATTGAGAGAAATGCCTGTATGATAATTTTTAATAATCTGAAATTTGAAACAATACAAAAAATATAAGAAATTCTAAGCTATTTTAATAAATATTTCTAAATC